AGGGAGCCCGATGCGGGACTCGATCCCGGGACTCCAGGATCATGACCTGAGCCGAAGGCAGTCGCCCAACCAACTGAGCCACCCAGGCGCCCTAGTCTTTTATATTTAATTACATATTTACCATTTCTAGTGTTCTTCCTTCCTTCCTGTGCATTTGAATAACCCTCTAATCTCATTTACTTCCAACATAAAGGATATCCTTTAATATTTCTTATAGAGCAGTTCTCCTACCAATGAATTCTTTCGGTTTTATTTATCTGGAAATATCTTTATTTCATTTTCATTTTTGAAGAATAGTTAGGTTGGATATAGAATTCTTAGTTGGCAGTTTTTCCTTTCAACACTCTGATTATGTCATTCCATTGGCTTCTGGCTGATGAGAAATCAGCTATTAATCATACTGTTTTTCCCCAGTGAGTTACTTTTTTTTCTTGCTTTCAAGTTTTTCCTGTTATCTTTGGCTTTCAGCGGTGTGACTATGATATATCTTTTTGTGGGTTCTTTATGTGTTTTGTTTTATTTTTTGATCTTGGCTGAGCTTCTTAGGTCCGTAGTTTAATATTTTTCATCAAACTTGGTAAGTTTTCAGCCATTAATTTTTCAATTATTTTTTCTGACTCCCCCCCACCCTCTCCCCACCCCCCATTTTCCCTGCTCATTCCCGTGTTTAACCCAGAGCCAAGGATTTTCAACCGCCCCCCCCCCCCATCACCACCCTGTATTGCATCTGTTTCCCATGGCAGCAAAACTACTTGTTTTCATAGCTAGTACCACATTACTTAAAAGTCATTGGCTGAGTGAGGGGATAATGGCAGTGGCCTTGGGCAGAAAGGCCTTGGCCTCCAACTGTTTTACCTGAGGGTCTAGTAGCTTTTCAAAAACAAAAGCTTCTGTTGCAGAGTTTAGCTGAACTACTCCAGAATATTGCTGTCTCCTCCTCCATTTCATGTGGCCAACTGGCCTGCAGGGGCCTTGACCTGGTATGAGCTCCTCCTGCGAGCATACCCGAAAGAACAACTGCAGAGTCATGAGTATGCGGAAGTTCCTGATATGACTTCCCCAATGGTCTCCCCCATCTCCCAGGGCCTTCCCCTTGTGTACCCCTTAAATAAGACCCCTGTGAAGCTGACCAAAACCTTGTTCTTTCTGGTTTGAACTGACCAATCCCGGCTTAGCCTGGGAATCCCAAGGGCTCCACTTGTGGACCCTCATAAAGGTATGTGTGCCAGGTCCTGTCATTCTCTCTACCTGCACTCTGCCTTCACCTCCCAGGTGGCCCCTTGGGGCATGCCTTGTACTTCTCCAGGACCTTTGAGAAATAAAATTCTCTATTTCGATAAGTCTTTTGTTGAACAGAGACTCACCATCAGACACCCCAGGACTCTACTTAACAAATGTTAATTTAACAAAGTCAGAACAGCTTCTTAATTTGTTGTCTGACTTTGGTCAACTTCCAGTTCCTGGAAATGGCTGGTTTTGACAATTTTGTCTAGTTTTATACATTTTTTGTTTGTTTTTTGCTTTTGCAGAAAGAAATTGCCTATCTATTCATGCTGCCATAACTGGAAGGCTCTCTTCTCATTCTTCTTAAACCCTATATTGATCAACATAAAAAAAAGGCCTCCATTTTCATTTAATGTCCCTTTAATGCCCCCCCATGGCCTCAGGCAGAAAGGCCATGGCCTCCAACTGTTTTACCTGAAAAGGCCTAGGGGCGCCTGGGTGGCTCAGTGGTTAAGCATCTGCCTTCGGCTCAGGTCATGGTCCCAGGGTCCTGGGATCTAGCCCCAGGAAGCCTGCTTCTCCCTCTCCCACTCCCCCTGCTTGTGTTCCCTCTCTCGCTGTGTCTCTCTCTGTCAAATAAATAAAGTCTTTAAAAACAAAACAAAAAAACAAAAGTAAAAGGCCTGTTACAGGTCCCTTTCATATCAAGCCTGTTATACTCCCTTGTTTTCTTAGCCAGAAGTGCAGAAAAACCAGCTTTGCAAATCCTTCCTGTCCTTCCCCATTTTTTGAGGAGCAATACCCTGAATAAAGGCAGAGTCCTTTCTGTTCGTATGAATTTGTCAAGCCCCACCCTCCCCTTTTACCTGGTTTCAGATTCACATCAGTGAATGCAGGGCCTGCAGCATGTCTGTAGAAACCATTTCTAAAATTACTTATGCTACTTGGAAGGCTGAGTACCTTGATTTGGTGAGGGAGAGGAGCAGGGAGGTAGATTTCTTCCAATAACCAATTATTAGATTAGTTTATTTGATTACCTCATAGGACATGTGGTAGAAATATAGGATGGGTCAGTTTTAATTAGGAGGCGCAAGGCAATAACCAACTTCAAATAGAAAAATAAAAATTTAGATTTCTAATAATTTGGATAACACCATTCAAATAGGTTAAGTCCCTGAGAAGTCTAGCTTTAAAAAAATAATTTAAAAAATAAAAAGCAAATGTTTAAGGGATAAGCTCTTTAGAATTACACTATAAACTACTTCAGCGGCACCTGGGTGGTTCAGTCAGTTAAGTGTCCAACTCTTGATTTCAGCTTTTTTTTTTTTTTTTTTTAAGTAGGCTCCACAGGGCTTGACCTCACAACCCTGAGATGTAAAAAGAAAAAAAAAAATCAATCTAAGGAAAACCCACAGAGGAAAACATCAGAAAAGTGCTTCTGCAAAGACAAGCTTCCTTTATTTTAATATATTTGCTCTTTTTTGATATTGTATGAGATAGAGTGTGAAGGGAGGGCTGAGTGTTTTGGA